AAATAATATTATGGATATAATACACGATGGTTAAACAATTTAATACAAAGTTTTCAGTATTTGATAATGCTGGAATGAAAATTTTCACATAAACATAAAAAAGGGCCAATTAAAATTCCGGTTTTATTTGCATGAAAGATGAAAAAAGCTATTAACGAATTTTACCAACCAAAATGTCCACTTATTTAAGGCATGAAATTACTAATTACGCTACAGTTATTTTTTTTTCTCCATATAAATTACTAACAGAAATAATGCATTCAATCGTAATTTAAATATGCACACTGTTATGATTTTAATATTAATTTTTAAGTCAATTATTTTGCATATAAAAATTATCATTTTCTCTTTATCTAGTTTTAACAATTACTTGGGAAATAAATTATTTCTATTTAATATGTTACTTACATTTCAAAGGTGGCATCGATATTTATTTTTTCAAATTCTTATGAAATATAATCTGCAAGATTTATTAATAAAAAATATATCACAATATTGTTTTCGTTGTTGTGATTAAATTTATGCACAATTCTGTATTTTAAATTATTTTGCTTGCTTGTTTTCAAATAATTTCCACTACGTACTTAATTACTTCTCATTTTATTGAAGCTATTCATTTCATTACATAATTAGTTTCCTTAAAAAGATTATTTTTCAAGAATTAAAAAGAATATAAGATATCTTTAACACTTATTATTTCTTCTTGTACTAAAACTATTCCGTATAATATATTTTTCTCATTTCCTATGAAATGTAATTAAATTAGAGCGTGAAAAAAAAGAGAAGAAAGAAGAAATTTTCCCACATTTAAATTACAGAGACAAGAAGAGAAACAACTGGTTAAATGACCATCTAAAGTTGCATCCAACCGATTACATTTTCTTCATCACTATCATGGGATATATTCATTCATCCATTTGATAAATTACAAAAATTTTCTTAATTGGTGCTCACAGCAACAGTAATGCTATGGATGCAAAAAAAGAAAAAAGTGGAAATTTATTTTAATGTAAAAAAATGCAGTTCGGTAGAATTAATTTTGTAAACTCTTTTTTACATTTGTGCCTTTTTAAATCGTAATTTCATATTCCTTCTCAGCAAATTTAAGTGCAGTCTTCTGCAAATCGTAATTTAAATTTTGCGCTGTTTTTTTTGATACGCATTTTGAGCATAGACTGCTAATAACAAAATAAAAGAATCTCAGAAAGAATGGAATTAGGCATAAGACAAGTAAATCTGTTTGATTTAGCAAATAAAGCATACATATGATCTGTGTATAGGAATGTTAAAATTTAAAATTCAAAGATAAATTTATGAGAGTCATTGAGAAACCAAACTTCAGGGGGAAGAAAATAATCGCTATTGACATATAAATGTCTAACAATAGTTGTTGGTTAATTTAGATGGGAGCAATTCTTTGTCACTTTTAACAATTTATAATCTTGAAAATGACGATCCCGAGATTGGTTGAGTTAGTCTCGTTGTCACAATAATATAAATATAAATAATAATTGAAGTGTGTTACTGCCGTGATTTCTCTGATATATTTCAAGCGTACTATTCCTCTTTATGCAAATCGTTTCCATTCCACAATTTCGCCTATTGATTGGTATAAATCTTTTCTTTATATCTTTCGTACAATTTTTTCCTTTTATTTTTTGTCCTCCAAATAAAATGGATTCTCCTACAAAATGCATATATTTCAAGGACAATTACTTGCATAGTTTTTTCATGAAAATCCCACTATTTTATATCTTTAAAACCTTTTAAAACACACATATACCACTCATTTCCAAATTTTCTGCGTGTTTTTGTTCATTTGAAATTTTTTGATTGTCACAGAAATAATTTCTTTTCGGATATCACTTCAAACTGAGGGTAAACAGAAATGTTGAAATTCTTTATAGTTACACTTAATCCAAATATCCATCCATCTGACTTCTTTCCCACATCTTATACATAAGATAATAATGAAAAACTACATGAAGGCTGGTTCAGCAAAGTTTAGATTGAAGTTATATTATCACTAAGATTGGACAGTTAGGATTTCGTGAATAGTTTTAACCTTTAAACCTCATCAAGTCATTTCTCTTTATAACCTTTCAACAGTAGAAATTATTAAAGTCTATTTACAATAATACAAAAGATATGCAAAACAAATATCAATCCTTAATCTTATTTGTAGCACATAGCAATTCCTATCGGTACTTTCCTCTAACTGACTGATTTGATTGCTGTTAACATGAATGATCACTGGCGAATTTATATATATCGGGCATATTTTCTTTTCTTCCTTTTTTTGGAGATGACTTGAAATCAATCCTTTTTTAAGTAATCGTAATAAGCTTTTTGTTTTGAAATCTACTCATGATCAAGAATGGCTCAGCTACTGAAACAAGAAGAGATACCAAGGATTAAAACCGAAAATCTGAATGGTACGAACGGAAGAGATTAGTTGTATAACAATATTCTGGCGAATTTTTTTTGAATTTCAGAATAATTTCGATTGAAAAATCAGAATTACATAGGATACGTTAGCTAATTACTAATGAACCAATTAATTAATATGAAAGTCTTTCATAATACGTCCCACTAATACGTTATCGATCTAGTACTAATTTAGGTGTTCCGTCGGCCATACAATAAAATATTTGCAATAATCGGACTGTTAATGATCAAATAGATAACAGGTATTTCACAATAATATTCTCGAAGAATTTGCTACCTCATCTGTAGAACTTTCAATGTTTGATATTAGCAGGCGGAAATACCATAAAACTCTGTCCTGTACCTGCATTATTGATATCTGATCAATAATCCTAGCTCATTCGCATTATTCATCATCACCGATATTATGTTCTGCCATGTTTTAGTCCTTTTTTTGAGAGTTAGGAAATTACAAAAAATGCTTCATGTCACAGAGATCGCAGAAAAGGAGATAATGGTACTATTCCCATCTTTTAGCCCCTTTCCGACATCTTTCTGGATCTGACATCAGAATGGTCAGAAGAGAAAAGAGATCTGCAAAGTGATGTGTCATTTTCTCGTTATTGTGAAAATGTCTCCCATAGAAATTAGTTAGCTAAGGAATTAAAGGCATCTCATTTGTTTGTACTAGACGTTGAAAGATGTTAGAAAAGGAAAGGTTGGAAGTAACCAACCTGCTGCTTGAAACATTCTCATTTGCCTAGAAATCGTCCTATTTCTTGCAAGATTCGTGAATTTCGAGTTGTTAAACGAGACAATAGAAATGAAAGTTTGAGTAGGAAAAGAAGGAAGTTTGCAATACTGAAAGGGAAAAGATTTGCAGAAAGATATAACTTCTATTTTTGTAACACTAATGTGGAGTCATCTCTCTTTATCATCTAATGTTCTAAGCTTTCTTGGACAAAATTTTGATCAATTCTTAGGCTTTCATCGACTGTACATTACATTCTGAATAAGAGAGTTAAGAAATGAAAAAAGCTGATCATAATTTTTCAAGAAGGCTACAAATTAAAAAATCAATTACACTTGTTCAAATATCTATGAGGCTGAAGTATGTCGCTTAAAATTCTTGAAAATTTTAATTCTTCTAGATATGAGAAAAAAATTTATGCGATTTTATTGCATCAGCGTCTTTTAGTCACAGAAAATATGAAAATATAGAGGCCCAAGAAATCAGCAAAATTGATTAGTAATTTTCCACTTTATAAATGAATAATTTGATATATTGTCGAGCATCCAATCCACTTTGTTTCAATTTACAAAATTTTCGGACCTAATTGATATTTTGTTGTTTGATGAAGTACTTAATTTTATTTTTTTGGATAATTTTTTTTGGTAAAAAAGAGGAAGGGAAAATTTCGGGAAATGGAAGATGTAGATGTTTGTAAGAAGCGTACTGATGAGGGACAGAAGGGTGGAAATCGAGAGTGAACAGAAAGGAAAGAACCGTTCCATCAAATACTGCACCATCCTGGAAAACCGTCCTAGCGAATGAAGACTTCCTCGAAAACTTTTAAGTGCGAAAAAAGGATAACAGCATTATATTAACAAATGATACTCTCGCAGGAATTCCTTTCTTACTGTATTAGTTATGTTTTTGCAAAATTCTAACCAACATATCGCTTGCGTGTGCTGCTCACGTGTGTTGCGTGCAAGTGTATGCATGTACATGCATTCATTGGAAGTTTTGAGAGAGAATTCTCTCGTCTCTCTCTGTTGATAATTTTCATCAATTTATAATATTTGTAGAATTATTTGTGTGTAGGGATAGCGCAATCCATTTTTTATCCATTTTTTTAAATAGATCTTTATTGTTATTCATTAATTAATTACTTAGAATTCTTTGCTACATCATATTATTGCACAAATATCACATGAGTTGCTTCAAATTTCTCCAAAGAAAGAAATTTCGAAACTTGTGTGGAATTTGTGCAGTAATAGATTATTACTACACAAATATTACTAAAAATTCAATTGGTTCATTACTGACGTATTATCACTGGTTGGGTATTATTATGTTTTATGAAGTGGAATGTTGAATTTTACAAGTTTTGCACGTTTAAAGGAGGCACACTGCAATGATATGTCCGATTTATTGTTCGGAGAATTTGAATAAAAGTTACGAGATATCTTTGACTGTTGAATCATTGCTTTAAATTGAGACATAAATTGTTCGCATTTAACATATTCTTGCTATGTGGGAAATGAACGTTTATTCTCTCTCTCTTTTGCTTTTTTAAAGTTTTCGTATTTCTCCATAATATTGCTTATCAGTCATTTATTACTAAATAACCCTAGTTTTGAAAATAATATTTATTATTTGTTGATGTTAAATTGTCTATGTTGCAGGACTGCGATGTATAGCATGTTTCATTTATCCTCAATTAATAAACTTTGTAAGCAGTAAATGCAATACAAATTATTTGTAGTATTTACTGCAGAGAGCATTCTGGAAAGAGAAGAAAAGAAATGAATTTCAATAATATTTCATTTAGCCAATCTTTTAACAGGGAATGGCAGAAAGCACTGAGTTATGGCGAGAATGCGTACGGTGGATGAATGAATGCGGAATCCTGGATGCCAAACATCGGGTAGCAGAAGCAGGTGCTGAAATCGGTGAATTCGCAACTATTCTACGAGATGGTGTATTGCTTTGCTTACTTTGTAATCGGTTGTGCGAAAATTGTATTGACATCAAAGATTTACAGCAGCGACCACAAATGGCTCAGGTATATGTCTTAACTATTCGAATATGCTATGATATTATAATCTTTTTGTGCTTTCATTATAATCGTTTTATGCTTTTTGCATTATTGGAAATTGTTTTGTTTCTGGTATGGATATACGATTATTTCTAGATTTTCCTTCATGAAACCTTTAATCATAAAATTTTGTTGGCAAGATTAAGCAAGATAGCAAGGTCAGTTTTGGTAGTTTTTGGAGTGCCACTGATACCTATAAAATCAGCCTTATTTCACCGTATTTTCAAAACTTCATAACTATTTTAGTTTCTGTGCTGCAAAAACATATGTGAATTTCTGAAAGCATGTAAAAATACGTTTGAAATGAGGCCAGAAGATTTATTTGATCCGTGGGATCTTTATCGTCTCGACGATTTCGGCAAAGTGCTCAGAACGCTTTCCAAATTATCCACGTCTCCTGTAGCGAAGCTTAGCGGTATTAGGTTCATTTTTAAGTTTTTCATAGTTACAGAAGCTGAACAAAATTATGTTTTATTTGTGCTTTTTTCGAGCAAAATTAAGAATTCACTGTCCACAGCATATATTTTATGCTATAAAATAATTGAAATACGCAAAGTTTTCTCAGTATGTATGAATCTCAAATTAAGAGGTATAACAAACTCAATTGAACCTTTTGTTTTTGCTGTCAGGCGTCACATTTGGCAGCGTATATTCAAGACATTCCAGGGGATTTCCATTACGTATATCTCCGTTAAATTCTGTGGAATATTATAACGACAAAGTTATTTACAAAAATCTTCGCCAAGGAGCAGAAGTAAATGAACCTGTGCTCGAAAATGCTTATGATATGGGTATCGCAGAGGAGGAGAAGACCAGCGGCCGAATTTACGATTCTATTGTGTGTCAACGGTCCAATAGTCAACGGGAACTGAAAGCTATCGAATATGATGTTAGTTTCTGTTAACCATACTTGTACAACTTCTTCATTACAAATGTTATTGAGAAGAAACCAAGTTTCTTGAAGAATGACTTAAAATGTCAATTTTTTCCCAGTGTCTTAAAATTTCCCAGTGTTTTCAAAATTTCTGTTTATTTGAATTTACCAGATATTATACAAATATGTTGATTAATTAATCGGATATCAAAAAAATTCATAGATTTTATTCGAATTATTCTATTTGAAGTAGTTTAAAAAAAATAAGTTATATTAATAAAAATTTAATGATGTGAGAGATGTGAAATGCTTTTATTAATAAAATATGTTTCAGTAACTAGTAGTTTTCCATGTATGTTTATCGTTTAAGGTCAATGTTTTTTAATAGCAGTATTTTACCATTTTATTTGCAGGTTGTAAAAGACTCACTTTTTGATGATCTATAACCTCGACTTTAGATTTGAGATAGACTCCATAATATTTAGCAACGTATAGCAATTTAGATTGGACGATATTGAATGTTGTTGACAAACCGTTTTTTAGAAATGGATAAATTTCAAGCCAGATTCTCGACGTGAGCATTGCGTCAAGGAATTATATGATACTGAATCAAACTATGTCGAGAAAGCTCTAGATATGATCATAAATAATTTTTATACGCCACTGGAGGAAGTGCTATCGAAGGATGATCATAAAATGATCTTTATGAATATTTTAGTTTGTTATTCGCTCAGATCCATTGCATACTTCAATCTGTACTTAATAACACTAATCATCAGAATCAGAATTTGTATCTTTTTTTTTCGAGAATTTTTAAATGGTTTTTGTAGGAACTGGCATGCATTCATCGTTCATTTCGTGATCATTTACGGCAAGCTGTATTCTATACTGTAGGATTGGAAGATCCCGTAAATGATGAAAAACCAGTGACAATTGGGGACGTCTTCATTACGTAATTAATATTTTTCTTCATTACGTAATTAATATTTTTCCAAAATATAAATTATGGTTCTTCTTGAAAGTATTAAATACTTTTTAAAACAATAGGAAAAAAATTTCAGATGGAAAGAGAAATTTGTGGCATATGGAGAATACTGTTCGAAATTACCAAATTCACGTTCACGTATTTGTTATTTGGAAAAAACAAATCCGATCGCACGACAAAAAATTATTGTATGTACTTCCTTATTCTTATTTCTTTTACATTTAATTTCTCTAATCTCATTAATTGCATTCACAACAACTTTCTTGAGGATTTCAAAATTACTTGTATCACTTATAAAAGTTGACCTCCATTCTGTTTCAGGATTGTGGTATAGCTGCTAATCGTAACCAGTTTCATTTGCAGGATCTTCTCAGTATACCCATGCAGAGAGTTTTGAAGTACCATGTTTTGTTATCGGTAATTTTATCTTCCATTTGAAATATTCAAAGTCAGGAAGCTGAATTGGTTACAGCTTTGAGGAATGAAAATATTTTTATGTTGCTCTAGGAGATGATAAAGCTTACCCCAGTAGACGCACTGGACCGCTTGCCTTTGGAAGAAGCGAAAGAGGCAATGCAGGATATCAATTCCTATGTTAATGAAATGAAACGTGATTATGAGATGCAACAATTGGTTATGGATATCGAAACAAGTATAACAGATCTGGAGCTGGTAGTTTATTTCTGCTAGTAGTTAATAGTTTGATTTCCCTTGCGCTGGTTGAATTGTATAAACAACAAATGACAAAACAATTTCTTCTAACAGAAAGAAATTGGAACTGGTCATTATATAGTTGCGAACTGATTTCAGCCCGTAGGCATGCATTTGATTAACTATGGTCGATTGGTTAAAGATGGTGAAATCAAAATTGCCGATCAAAGTAAGGATGGCAGTCGACTGAAAACACGCTACGTATTTGTTTTTGATAAAGTGATGATTATTTGTAAAAGTCTGAGAGTAAGTTTTTATTTTG